CATTATATCGGCGTAGTAAACGCACACATCATTTGCCCCCTATTTTCAGGGAGAAAAACTGCGTGTTATACTCCGATAAATACGGTAGTTATATTTTCTTTTCATATGACCATACATATTTATGTTGTGCGGACCGGCAACGTAAGGCTAGCGGGAGGGGGAGGGTGTCTAGGAACGCTGTCCCAGGCGAGACGGGTTTACCAAATATAGATTTTGAAATGAGCCTATTTTGGTTCACATTGGTAATGAAAAGTTATTAATTTTTTTATTTTATTTAATGTCTAACGTTTTTTTTTAAAATCCTTATTATTAGCTGTATTGCATTTAGTTATTTAATTTATTATTGCAAAATGTGGAGATACAATTTAAGAAATCTTACACGTGGCGCAACACCCATTACATTGATTACTGCAGTTAAAATCTCGTCCTCCACATGTGCCTGGACATTCATGGCACGGAACAAACCAAGCTTCCTCACCGGTCGAGATTGCCGTGAGTTTTGGTCGACAAAAACTCTACTCCATTGTAAAGAAAGATTTTCCAATGTTCAACATTTGACAGATTCGGCTGGTCTGATTTATAACAGCAAAAACAATTTCTTCATTTTCATTCCAACTATCTGGCTAGTGATGCAATCTCTTCTAGTTTAAACAACTTTAATGATTGTGTGGCAGTGTATGCCCCAACCCACTATTTGACCCGTTACGTAAACCATGTCTGGCGCCCAACTCAAGGCCGCGCGGTGTGTAGTAGCACTGGCGCGGTGCGTAACAGGTATCCCTTTTCACCTTTTGTGTGGCAGTGTATGCCCCAACCCACTATTTGACCCGTTACGTAAACCATGTCTGGCGCCCAACTCAAGGCCGCGCGGTGTGTAGTAGCACTGGCGCGGTGCGTAACAGGTATCCCTTTTCACCTCCCCCCCCCTCCCCCCGGACGGTCACTATACGACCGGCGCATAGGGAGGAAATAATAAAATACCACGATGTGCGCATTGGTTAGAAATTCAATAATTTATTTATCAGGAACCCTAGCGTGTTAAGTTATACATTACATCTAGTTAAGACGGGGATTTTATTCACTATACCTTAGCATATTTACAAGTTTCCATCGTTGGAGGATATTTTAATATTTAGTCATTAAAGGAGTTTTCGCCTTCATTTATAGTGGTCCCCACCCCTTCTAGTTAAAATATCTTAAAAACTATTTAAGTCATAAAAATATAAAATGGCATCTTAGATAGCTAAGACAAAACTGCACAGATTACATATAAGTCGTTAGGGATGTGGATAAAGATTTTAATTATTACTCGGGATTAGTCCCCAGAATTAGTCATTTTACCCCAGGAAACTGGCCAGAAGGCAAAACTTATACCGACTCGGTTTAGGTGTGACGTAGGGGCTCTCTGATATGTCCGCGCACGGTTTTAAAAAGGGGAGCACACGAGGTAGGGGTCTTTTCGAGCTTTGGTCAGTATACCTGCATTGTGCCTTTGTTCAGTGCGGCCCATTGGAACGCTCTATATTGTCCTTTTTCTTCATAGGCTTCTTCTCCATAGTTCATAGTGTCCTCTTTCTTGTTTTCATCACAGTAGAGAATTAATTAAAAAGCTATAGTCCTCAAGACCTGATTGTTTCATTTTGATCTTATTTAAAAAACTGTAAGCTACGTCACACACTCGGCTACAGTGTTTTGGCGTTGTCACCTAAGTCAACCCTAAACCACCACACTACTACAATTGTAACAATTATGTATGTTAAACCCCCTACCCCCACTTTCCAATTAAGTGCTAGGCGTTTCGTTATGTTTCATTTGTTTGTTTGTTTGTTGTTTTTTTTTAAACACTTGCTAATCTAATCCCCTAAAAGGTTTGAAAATTATATTCAAAATTCTTTTCATTAAATGTAGATGAAATCTGTATTTTTTTAAAAATGTAATCTGCAAAATATGTGAACGCTTCAAGTGCTGTTTCGGCTTGTAGCAAGATGTTACTGTGACCTTGTAGCAGAGGGTCTCGGAAATTTAATGGGCCCAAAGTTGTGGTGTGCAAAATAAAATAATACAAAGTATTTTAAAATGCATCCAAAAGTCACGCGACGGACCTGTCCTGGAGTACAAGAAAACTTTGAACATTAGAGTACCATTTAATTAATTTAAATACCATTTTAACATGTTCAGTTTCATTTTTAAAAGAATATTCTACATTTTGTAGAGCTAAAATAATATATATACATATATATTAATTTTTCACGGGGAAAAAAAAAACTGGATCATCAAGAGGTTTTCGAGACAGTTTGCCTGTTTGGAGATTCTACAAATTTAATAAATTAAAACAAAGTTTCAGTTTTTTATGTGTCTAACTACACCTTAATCTGCCTTATATAACTATAACATCTTACTACACCTAAATCTGCCTTATATAACTATAACATCCTACTACACCTTAATCTGCCTTATATAACTATAGCATCCTACTACACTTTAATCTGCCTTATATAACTATAACATCCCACTACATTTTAAACACAAATTACATCAAAAGTTTTTTTTTTTTTTTTTTTTTTTTTTTTTTTTTATTTTTATTTTTTTTTTTTTTTTTTTTTTTAAATTCTTTAAGCATCAATCTCCTTTGCGTTGTTATAGTTATATTTATAGGTTAGAGGCTACAAATATTGTTATTTAACCTGGTTCGGATTTCATACAGCCATGCTTTTAAATCAGAGCATTATTTAGAAGCAATCAGTTTTAGAGGCGTTCAAGTTCAACTTCTTTTTATTGTTAATTCAGACTATTGAGAACATACAAAACTGATGAATCAATTATAATAATTTAATGCTCTAATAAAAATTTGTTGTTTTTTTTTTTTTAAAAACATTCAAAAGGAACGTATTTAGAAAGTTATGCATAAAATTTTATCCAATTATACTGTTAGACTTATAAATATTTTTTTTTAAGCACTTAAGAAATATAACGCAGAAAATGTTGTCATTTTATTTGAATATCCTCGATGTTCATTTATAGTGAAATTAAAAAAAACTATTCTTGGGCTTAGTTTCCACTCAGAGCAAGTTGTTTGTTTAAAGAAGAGAAGCCAAACGTGTTATGTGTCGTGAGAAGGTAACGTCACAACTCATGATATTACCGTCAACAGGTGGCAGGTAAGACTCGACCACGTGATGTCTCATAGTCATCAAGAAGCCCCCCCCCCCCCAAAAAAAAAAAAAAAAAAAAAAGATAAATGTCTCTGCGTGACTATTTTTATCAAAGGAGAAAGTTCTTAACGAAAAATACGTTCCCCTTGTTTTATTTAAAGTGGTGGAGGTAGAATTTTTGTTAGAGCCTGTAGGGACTACACAAAAGCTACGCGAAAAGTGACGTCATTATTTGTTGAATGATGAAGTAAACGTGTTTTTATCATGTCGTTTGGGTTGTTGTGTTGGGCTGTTTTATTGTTATTACTAGGCATATTATAAATGATCTTGTTGGCCACCGTCCATGGTTTGCCTTGTAAAAGTCCTGGGGTTTCATGCTGTTCTTTATTTCATAATTGTATTTGATTTTAATGTCACGCTTATGTCTCTTTTGATAATATTTTTATGTACTGTGCGGTGAGCCCAGCCCTAGGCTGGGGTACCGGGCTGTAAAAGACCACTAATTATTATTATTATTATTACTACTACTATTATTATTATTAAATTATAATCATCATCATTATTATTATTCTCAGGATAGGCCGAGAGCTGCTAAACGTGTTTGTCTCTGCTCTGTGTGAAATAAAATCTATCGATTTTAACCAAGTGTTGGCCTTGACCCATGTAATGTAATTTTCTCTTTGGTTGGGTTTTATAATAATTTTTACAAGAAAATCTAGACATCAGAGGACTTGGTACTTCGCGTGTCATTTCCGTGTATATATAAAGAACTAGAATTTCTCAATCGTTAATTTAAATATTCATGTAAAAAAAAGACAACAATATCTATTGTAGGATGCATGGAATAGTTGAAATAATGATATAGTGGACGTTAGTTTGTTGCTCCTTCCATACGAAAACCATCAAATATACAGAATAAATATCAAACATTAGCCATTAAATATAATAATACCAAAAAATACGGAAATAATACGGAAAAATGTCAGGGGGCCTCCAAAATTCATGCGACGGCTTTGTAAGACATATGGTAGGCCTAAGCTAAGGCTTATGGCCTGCACCATTGAAATTCATTCTAGAAAGGGCGCCGCGAGTCAAAAAATGTTTGAACCATTGTTAAAAATGTAAAATTGATTTTTACATTTTTTAAATATATATATATCTCTTTTTTTTTTTTTTAAAGTTTGTATTGAGCAATTATAATTCCGAGCTGTGCTTCAAAGAAAAAGATAATAAGGGGAGCAAACTAAACAAACTTATTATTTCCTTTTTTTTTTTTAGTTATGAAACTTACACGCACTACATTTTTACAGTAAGGTTGTGTAAGCAAGTTTCAGTCAAATTTTTATATAACACTCCTCACTACTAACAAGTTGAACGTGAAGTGTTTTTTTTTTTAAACTTCAATTTGGCCGATGTATCAGGTATTCCAGTGTTTCCCAACGTGTGGTAGGCCGGTACGGGTAGAGTTTGGTGGGGGTACGCGCGGCAAATGAAAAAATACATATTTTAATTAAAATTGTTATTAAAGTATATGCACTTTTTTTTAAACGAGGGGTACTCAGTGTTACGAAAATCATAGATAAGGATACAGAGAAGTCAAAAGTTTTTTTTTTTTTAACGGGGGGTGGGGGGGGGGGGGGGTGGTGTGAGTGCAATACTTAATTGTCTATCAAATGTGAGCTGTCTGGAAGTAGAATTATAAATTATACCTATTTTACTACTGATACTGTCTTCACAATCAAACAATTGTTTTTCCTTACAAAATAAGTTGCATCACTCTTGCAGTGATATACAACTTTTAGCGTTTTACAGCAAATAAAAAATTCAGGGAAATTAACTCTGTCCATTCAGCTATTTCATGCCAATTTATGTTATCAACAAGAAGTCACACGATTGTCTGGTGAGTTCAAGTCGGCAATGTCTAACCTGAAAATTATTTATACTAGTACCAATTATCATTTTGAATAAAATGCATCATAACTATATTCAAAATATTATCAGTTATGCTGTTGTGTATGCTCTTCTTACAACCAAAGTAAAAGGGTAAAAAAAAAAAACTTTTCAATATTATTTATATAATTGAATTGATATTAATGCCGGCACCGGGTAATAGTAATAGTAATAGTAATAATAATATCATTGTGGCAGTGATCCCGCTCCGCGTAGTATTGACTCTTGTCTATGACTATTGTACTAGTACTAATGGTATTTAGAATATTTAGGCCTCGTATTATTATTTACTATTTGATATAGTCCTAGGTATTAATATATTTTATTTAGTTTAAAAAAATAAGTTTTACCAAAAAAACTTTTTGATTCATACCTCATACTCATAGTGTCATATGTTGCTATGTCATTTTTCATAGCCTATAACTATAGTATATAACACTATTATCAAACATAACATTGAAATAATTAATTAATGTAATTAACTTTTTTTTTTTCCTCCCCAGCAGCCCAGCATTACACGCTGTACTTTGTTTTGGCTAAGCCATTCATCATGTCAAAGTGTTGCCTCTAAATAATGATCAAGATTAACATCCTCATTGCTACTTTGATAAACATGGCCACCAGATTGTTCAAAAGCAGTAAGTCTATTTTGTCCTGGTTCACAGGAGTGAGCACATTGACCACAAAATTCTGTCCCTGGTTTATAGTTCTAAAGAAGGCTCTAGGCCTGTATATCTTCAAAAACTGATTTCTTAACATGTATCCATACAGAAATTGCGCTCTTCAACACAGTCCTTACTGAGAGTTCCCAGTGTAGATGAGCACAGTAATAAGTCATACGGAGTGCGCTCTTTTTAAGCTATTTATTGCACCTAAATTGTGGAACAGTTTGCCTCAATCTTTGAGGGAAATTGAAAATGATAAAAAGTCATTTAAGAAACAATTAAAGACTTTTTTCTTTAAATAGATTTTAGGACATCAGAGTGCTGTGAGCATGCTAAAATAGCATGGACACAAGCGCTGTAAAATTCATCATCATATTTATGCATTCCATGTCGCAGGAGCTGTCAGAATTTTCATTGTGAAAATGTCATAGCCTATCCATCTTGGGGTTTAATTTCAGGGTTTGCCTTCTTTTAGATAAATTTCTATCCAAGGTAACTAGTCCAATTCACCGGGGATGCTGGGGATATTTTTGCTTGTCTAGGCATTTTCTGGGGATTGATCTCCAGTCCAATAACTTTGGATTTCAGTAATATTTATGCTCTTTGGATTGCCTCAGTTCAGAACAGGGCCACCCAATATATAATATAATATACCATTTGAGCAACATTCAACAAAAAGGGCCTTTAGCCGGGCATAGTGGTTATGCAATCATACATACCAAGTGATATTTACATGCCTTGTACTAGCTTTATAAACATGGTTTATCCTTAGCTAGTTAGTTAGTTATTTTTAATAAATTGTTAAATTGTTATTTTGATGATGCTGCTTATCAGAACCTTTGTTTAGGTCAAAATAGCAGTTTATTGTTTGTTTATTGTAATGCCTATTTATATGTGCAAAGTGAACTTATTTCAGCGTAGAAGTAGATTTAAAAACAATGTATGGTCCACAAGTTTTGGATTTTAGGTTACCTACATTTTATCCTAGAGCATAATTATTACTGATATCTAGTTGCTATTTACCTAGTAACTGGGAAACCTAGGGGCAGACAGCTCACAGGTGGACCAAGACTGAGATGGATCAATGATCTAGAGAAGGACTTAAACCAGCTAGGGGTTCGTGCATGGAGGCAGAAAGCCATGGATAGATCTGAATGGAAGGATGTGGTGGTGCAGGCCAGGGCCCTACATGGGATATATAACCACTCCAGTTTTTTTTTTTGGTAGTTTTTTTTCTCTTGATTTTTTTCATTGGTTTTTAGAAATCTGTTCTCAGGGTTTTAACTCCATGTGGTTGGCATGATGCATCTTTAAAAAAAGCTTTTGTACTTAATAATAAAAGTTTAAAGAAATTATATAATTTTGTTAAAGTATTGAGGGCCGGCACATCATCACTCATTTATTTAGATATCGTCAGACATAAAAATAATTTTACTTAAATAGCTTTGCTTAGGTTGGTCAATTTTTAAATATTACCGTACTTTTGTTTTCTTCAATTTCAGTTTTGACATGGTCCCCTCAAAGTTCAGTGTCCCGATTTTTAAGTGTCATCAATCAACCAGATCTTTTGGCCATCAGAAAAGATTTACAGAAATTTGAAGGAGGATCCGTAGATTTACATACTGATGAGGAGACAGGGATAGCTGTTATGACTTTAAATAACCCAGAGAAAAGAAATTCCTTGACAGGTTTGTACAAAAAGTTTTGATTAAACCTTGCAAAGTTATTAATAATTTGTGCATTACATGGTTAAAAACTGTATGATGAGAATAGTAATTTTGGGTTTGACTAGCTGCACATCTGAATTTGTAAATTTAGGCTTGATAAAAATTAATTTGTTTCAGCAGTAAAGAATTGTACAGTTGTCCTTCACCCCTTTGGGCTTCGGCTTTTGCGGCTTAAATCTATCGTGTTTTTTTTTTTCAAATATAACACGTATACATTGAAAAGTTGACAGAGATAGTGAAAATGATACAGTGCGCTTTTGGTTGTCTAAATCAATTACACACCCCTGTATTAAAATTTAAATTACTTTATGTATGGACTGTAGGTCTATGTATTCAAGAACCCCCAGGGTGTCTAATAATTTTTAAAACTGTATTTAGAGGATCGTGAACAGGTTTTATACACTCTATCAAGATATTCCATTAATAAATAAAGAATCCTACTTCGTGGAAATTCACTTATCGCCGTAGAGTCTGGAACTGATTAACAGGAATAAATGAGGAGCGACTGTATTCAAAGCTTTAAATGAAATACACTTCATTGTGTTGACCTACCCTGATTTTCTTGTCCTTTTCTTGAAAAAAGAACAAAGTAGCGTGTAGTAATTTGATTTGTTTTGTTATGGTAAAATTGATAGGGAAAAAAATTTTAGTGAAGCATAAATAGTAAGTAGACTTAGGCTTAGATGGATGGATGAGATGGAAAAAGATCTACAGCAGCTGGAAACCCAACCATGGAAAAGAAAAGCATCAGTGGTGAGGTAGGCCAAAGCCCTACATGGGCTGTACTGCCACAGGGATGGATATTAATATTACTGATTGCAGGCAGACTATGGATACAAATTTATTAGTAAACTTGCTTGAAATATATCCAAATACATCAAGCATTTCCATTTTCCCGTGCTTTTCATTGAAGCATTAAGTTAAAAATATTGCCCATGGACTTGATGTCTGTCTCTATAAATTTTATAATAAATATGATTTATACAAAAGTAGCTTAAGAAACACCACAACTATTGTTAAGGATATCCAAATAAATCATCAGACAAACAGATACATTCATTAAATTTACAAGCTAAAAAAACAACAAAAAACACTAGTGATAGACAAAGATTTTCAAATGTAATGCCAAAGCTCATACTCTACTATATTTCTTTTTATAGGTTATGTCATTTATTACCATCTCCTACATATATCTTCATAACTACCAAATCATAGCTAAGACAGTGGAATGTTGGTGGAATGTTGGTGACAAGTGACATGAAAACACATACTAACCCATGACTCTCAACAGACGTAAACAAAACAATATTTGTTTCATCTTTTTATCCCAGATGAAAAAATGTTTCCCAATTGCAGGCAAGATGATGGTTGACATGGCCGATCGGGTTTCACAGTTAGAGAAGTGGGCCAACGGAAGGGGACTCATAGTACTAGGAACAGGAGGGCATTTTTGCTCTGGTGGAGATTTAACATTTGTTCAAAAAGCTCTGCATTATGGGGGAGAAATGGCTGCATTCCAACATGATACCTTGACTCGTCTCCACAATCTGCCTTTAGTTAGTGTAGCTCTTCTGCAAGGTAGGTCCCTACCATTTTCCACATTTTTAATGTACGGCAACTATAAATTTAACTTGTTACGGTAGATTTTCTTTTAAATGCAAAATTCAACTGTTCCAATTATAAGAGTGCAATGGATGTAGAACCACATTGTTTATTTGTTAAACTATGTGCCCCAAACCAAAGGGGAAGATGACTTTAAACATTGTTTATTTGTCTTCTGGTAAAATAAACTATGTGCCCCAAACCAAAGGTCAAGATGACTCTAAACATTGTTTATTTGTTTTCTGATAAAATAAACTATGTGCCCCAAACCAAAGGGGGAGATGACTCTAAATTTTTGGGGGTTTAAGGTTATGTGAAATTAACCGAAACTTTTTGCCGAGTAAATTGATCTCTTCCTCCTCTTCCTCAGGACACACACTTGGCGGAGGTGCTGAACTGTCAACAGCCTGCGACTTCAGGGTCATGTCCTCTACCGCTAGGATCGGCTTTGTTCAGATCAAAATGGGAGTGACGGCTGGCTGGGGAGCAACGACAAGACTTGTTCATTTGTTGGGTCGACACAAGGCCTTGGGCCTGCTGTCTTCGGCAAAAGTTTTTTCAGCAGAGGAAGCCCTAGGTGAAGGGTTGGTGGATCATATATTACCTTATTCCCTGGCCCAGAGTGAAGAACTTGATGAATGTAAAAAATGGCTTTCATCTAATTATTGTGCTTATGATGCAGATTTGATTCAGGGTGTCAAATCCTCTGTGGTATATAGTGAACTGAATCCTGATATAAATACTTCATTGAAGTTTGAACGTGAAGTGTTTACTAAATTCTGGGGCGGTCCACTACAGAAGGCTGCTTTGGCTGCTAAGATAAAACATAAATAATATTTTATTAGTACTTTTTTTATGAGGTGGGGTTAATAAAAAAAAAGAGACACAGATGTTGGTTGCACACATTCGAATACCTTAACAATTAAGATGGTTGGTTGTATTAAATATTTAATTCTCCACTATCTTATCTAAATATAATTTTGTATTTGTTGATCTTGATGTAAATTCTTAGGATTTTTATTTTTATTTATTTTATATCAGCTAAGGAGCAAAGTTTTCTACAATCTGTACATTTTACAAATTTACAACGCTCTTTTGATAGGTGTTAATGCCTAGTACAAAGAGATTTTAAAGAAGAAGTTTAATTTTTGATATATAAAGATCGCTATTTAGATAGATATATATATAAGGATAGATGTATAAATATATATATATAAATATAGATGCCAAATATATGTATATTTATATATAAACATATGAATATACATACATATATATATATATCGGTATTATTTTATATATATATATATATATATATATATATATATATATATATATATATATATATATTATATAAAAAAATATAT